GGATCAGCGAGGGAAATGAAAAAAATTCACATTATGATTTTTGAGATTTCCCTCACTGATCCCTCGCAAATCAGCGAGGGATCAGCGAGGGAAATTGTAGAAGAAAGTTCTCTCGCAAATTAGTGAGGTATCAGCGAGGGAATTAGTTTTTTCGGAACTTCCCTCGCTGATCCCTCGCTGATTTGCGAGGGATCAACGAGGGAACATTTCCCTCGCAGATCAGCGAGGGATCAGCGAGGGAATGAGTTTTTTGGAATTTCCCTCGCTGATCCCTCGCTGATCAGCGAGGGATCAGCGAGGGAATGTGTTTTTTGTCATTTCCCTCGCTGATCCCTCGCTGATCTGCGAGGGAAAAATTCCCTCGCTGATAGTCGTCGCTGATACCTGGTTTTCTAGTAGTGTTAGGGTACTACGAGATGCGGTTATTCGGAATAATGGTTTAAAAGTCTCAATGAGTAATTACTACTTGGCTGATGCAGGATATGTCAATGGTTACGGATTTTTGGCACCATATAGAGGTACTAGGTATCATTTACAAGAATGAGAACACATTGGTCATACACCTACAAATAAGGAAGGATATTTTAACATGAAACACTCACAAGCTAAAAATATCATAGAAAAGTGTTATGGTATTTTGAAGAAACGTTGGGCAATATTACGAAGTCCTTCTTTCTATCCAATAAAACTTCAATAAAGAATGGTCATATCATGTGTTTTGCTACATAATTTTATTAGGATGTACATGGTTCTTGATCCGGAAGAAAACACGACACTCACACTAGAAGATATGCCTATAGGGGAAGAGCAAGGTGAATCCAATGATGATGTTGAATCTATTGATGTTGTTGAATCAAACAATGAGTGGACTCAATGGAGAGATGACATAACCCAAGAGATATTTCAATTCGTGGATGTCAAGTAGATGAATGTACTCGATGTATTGTATTACTTTTTTTAAATGTTATCATAATGTATTATTTTGTTATCAATGTTGAATTTTAAAATGTTATCGTAATGTATTATTTTGTTGCTAATGTTGAATTTTAAAATGTTATCGTAATGCTTATTTTGTTATTAATGTTGAATTCTAAATTAATTATCGTAATGTTGAATTTTAAAATGTTATTGTAACGATTATTTAGTACTATTGACATGGTGTTAATTTTGGAATTTAAAATATGGCGGATAGACGTAATTGGAGCATCAAAGAAGAGAATGTATTGATTAACATTCTACAAGAGATTGTAGCCGCCGGTGGTAGGAGTGATAATGGGTGTTTTCGGACCGGCACATATGAGCAAATCGTTTCAAAGATGCGTGAAAAGCTCCCGGGCCTTAATATAACATCAAAACATATTCAAAACAAAATGAAGCGGCTCAAAAATAAATATTCAACAGCTTATGACATGTTGAATACAAGTGCTTTCGGTTGGAATGATGCGCATCAATGCGTAACGGTGGATGCTCAAGTTTTAGAGGAATACTTAAAGGTAACACTTATATTTTTTATGTTATTATTTCATACTTAATTTCATTTGGATAGTGATTAACATTATATATATTTATGCATTTTTTTATAGAAACATCCAAGCAAAAATTATATTGTCAACAAGCCGTTTCCTCAATATGAACGACTGAAGATAATATTTGGAAAAGATCGAGCCACAGGATCAATGGCGGAATCTGCCGCAGATGTATTGGAGCACATCAATCTTGAAAGTGAAGTCGGTGCTGATACTGAGGAATTGAACGTGCCTTTGACTACTCTTTCTAATGGCGCTTCTGCATCCTCCATTCCACAAGACGTAGAAGCATCATCTAAAAAAACTGGTGTTTCTGAAGATGCAATCAAGCTGATTGAGAAGGAGTTGAATTCGTTATCCGAGAAAATGGGTAAGTTGGTATCAGTTGTTGGTACTCCGGGTTTACAAACTATGCCCGATGAGTTAACCAACATGCGTTTTGATGATGATCAGGTTATTGCTATTAGCATGTAATTTGCCGATAACCCGATTCAACTACGCCTATGGAATAGTATTAATGCTACTTTGAAGCCAAAATTTGTAAGGACCATTTTAAAGAAGTTAGACATGTGATGTTGGTTGGTAAACATTTGATTTTTGTGTTTAAGTCTTTTGATACACAAGTGTAAACATTTGATCTTTTGTGTTTAGGTCTTTTGGTAAACATTTCAACTTTTGTGTTGGTGAACATGATGTTTAAATCTTTTGATTTATGAATGTGAGTTTTTAATTAATATTGATTTTGGAATTTTTTTTGTATTTTTAAATAGTATTTGTTAACATTTATATTGATTATCTAGTGAAAAAAATATTAAACAGCTCACTGGGGGTAAATAGGTCATTTTAACCAGTTCTGTCCGGTCCTGTCATGTTTTACCAAACGCTGAACAACTATGATGTCTTGTTTTGTCTGCATACCAAACGCACCCTTAATAGCTCATATTGGATATAAATGGGTCAAAATAAACATTCATGGGTTCTAATGGATAGTATATTCTTTTAAATGAGTTCAAGTCTAAAGTCTTATTTCACTTTTGATTTATAAGAGGTTGTGCTGAAGTCTGAAATCTGAATTAATAAGACTGTTTTTTGTAAACTGATAAACATCTGAATTAATTTAAATTGTCTATTTTACCCCTTAAAAAGTTATAGTGTTGAACTTATACATAAATTTATAAAAGTTCATATATTTATTCATCATTATTATGAAATTTACATTTAAATTATATAATTAACATTCATTTAAAAGAAAATATGTCATTAACAGTATTTAACACATTTAAATCCTAATAAAATACATCAATTGAGAGAGGTGAGGATTGATTTGATAACGATCGATTGAGAGAAATGATTGATTAAGGTTAATCGATTGAAAGACGCCGTTGTTGAGGGTTTGAAGAACAATAAGAGGCAAATAAGATGTTGATTTACCTCTTACCACATAAGAGAACAATCAGACATATGTGTCTCTGATGGTCTTACCTCTTAACGAATCAGACATAAGAAACTAATAAAAGCTTTTTTATAAAATAACGAACAAGGCCTAACTCTATAAATCAGATTACCGAGCCCTTTCTGACCAGCTTCTATCGACAAATCAATTCGTCCGCCATTCGTCACCATATAACGACCCTGAAACCCGAGCTGTTAGTAATCTATCGGTAAATGAATCCGTTGCAAATCTATCGCAATAAAACATTATTTTCCATCGCAAGTAGCTCCAGATCTTCACAAGCCGTTAAAAATACCGGATCTTCTCGATTCTTCCCTCTTTTTGCAACTGAAAAAACTAAATCAAACGTATCTGATATATCCTACCGAAAAATTAAGGTCTAGAAATGATACGATGTACAACAGAACAAACCCCACCGAATTTCTTCTCTTCTTTTTTTGGTTATTTCCTTTAACAACACACATTGTGTAATTTCTACATTCTAGAAAAATCTGGGTTGGGTAAACAAATCCCAACCCTAAAGCCGGTGCACTTTGTGCTGACCGGCTTTTCCTTTACAATAAACCTAGAAAATTACAGCCAGAAAAGAACTTCAACATAAGGGGGAAAAAAGGACAAAAAGCTGCTCTATAATTTACAGAGGAATTGTTGTTGCTTCAAAACCATGACTCCATCTCACCGGAACCTGTGCATAGACCCTTGTCGCTGAAAAGTGTTTGGTCTGAGCAATCGAGCGATGCACCACACGCCAGATTATACGTTTGACATGCTGAGTAACACACTCTTAATCTGTTGTTGCCATCTTTCTCACACTTTTGTATCGATATCTGTTTCATTTCCACAATGTATAAACGATTTATGCAGAAAGGATATGAAAGGTGGCAACTTTCCTATAAAAGATCATAAAAGCAGGGAAAGTGAATGTGGATCCACAATTGTTTTCGTGTTGATTCCCTTTTGCATATGAACTTTGAAAATGATTTCGAGCCAGTGTGTGTGTGTGTCTTTTCTGTCGACAAACCAAAAAAGAACCATCTTATCCCTGATCTTTGCAAGGGTAAGATGGTACTTTTTGGGTGTCTTGACCAGAAAGATGTCATTTTGTACCTGAGATCGAAGTTCTGCACCTGTGGAAAACATCTTTTAAAAGTTCATAGCTTGGAAATGTTGCAACCATTAGATCTGGGCGGTTAGTCAACTTTTATGGCAAGGGTAAGATAGTCCTTTTATGGTGTATTGACTGTAAAGACTGCATATTTCTACCCAAGAGATTGTCAAAACCTTTTCAAAGTTGATAAGCTGGAAAAGGCTCCAACCATCAAGAGATTAGATTCAAGGTACAAACGGGCCATTTCAGTCAGGTTTTGCATCTCTTTGTCAACATACTGAAAACAATGACCATCTTACCCAAAATATTTGCAAGGGTAAGATGGTCATTCGTGTGTGTGTTAGAAAGATGCACAAACTTGGTTGGAGTTGGTGCACTTTGTACCTGTGATCGAAGTTTTGGTCCTGTTGAAACCTTCCCAAAATATGTAAGCTTGGAAAGATTCTGACCAAACAATAGCTTTGCATCTGTTCTGTCAATACACAGAAAATGGCCATTCTTACCCTTGATACTTGTAAGGGTAACATGGTCATTTCTGTGTACGACTTATAGTTGGATTTCATACTCTAGTACACCTTTTTTGCATTTTCTCCAAGAACCCTTAACGAAAATAATGCAGCTTACCCAACATGCAAGTCGCCTGGCGGCTTTATCACAATTTCTGCCAATGAACATATTGAGGATCTTTCTAGCTCCACTTGGATACAAGCGGTGGTAGTTGGGCATCACCACCACATCCTCCAACTGCCGCAAGATGCTTGATTCACTTGGTGCACAGTGTTGACCGCCAGCATCATTCTGTAAAACATCCTTGCAAGTCGAAAGATTATCAAGAACCAAGGAACTGTTTCGACAGGTGTAGCCCGCGTAATCAGAGCAGCGAAATTCACACACCCCATTATCACATACCCCACCATGAAGGCTGCATTGTTCATCACAAACCGCTGCAAACCATCCAAAAGAACATCAACGTTTTACCATATTCAGGATTGAACTATGAGGAATATACAGCCGAAGTTTAATACTGTGAATCCAGGCTGTTTGAATTTTTGTCTGTTTTGGTCTTTTTGGTTATACTAATAAGTAAATGGGAAAGGAATCTTTCTGAAAGAGGAAACATTGCATTCCTTTGGAACAAAATAAAATAGAAAGTTTAGAATCCGTCCCAAAATAAGTGTCCACATTTCTATTCAAGTTTGTCACAGAATAAGTGTCCCTTTTCAAAAGTAAGTGCACTTTCCTTTGAGATGGAGAAATTCATTACTATAAAGGGTAAAATTGTCATTACGTTAATTAAGTGTAATAATTACACATTTCTAAAACTGTTGTGCCTTTTTCACCGTAGACATTTATTTTGGGATGGTGGTAGTAATATTTTACATATTCAAAAAGAAAATGAAGCACTTATGTTTCCAGTTAAGCATTTGCTTAATCCCTAGTTAGGCAATTAAGAGCTTAGAGTTCTAAGCAACGTTTTCTAGGACACTCAGAATAAGAATCCTAACAACGATCATGGATGTAGACAATTTGCTGAAAATACCATATGACTCTTTTTAAATCTCACGACTACTATTGTGTGAATCCCAAGAGTGATCTTCGGTGTGCTTTTCTTTCTCTTTGTTAAATAAGATTGCAAGTTTAAACTCACCAGTTGAGCAATCAATCCCAGTGAATCCATCTGAGCATTCACAAATACCGTTCTTGAGACACTTCCCGTGTCCATTACAGTTGTTAGGGCAAGATCCTGAAAATGATACATCCATTAAGAATCTTAAGGATGTTATATCAATATATATATATATATACATATATTCTTTGGTAAGGCGTCGGTGTCCTGTCCGGTTTGAGGGCAAAAAGATCTTACTTTTGCTACAATCATGGCCATCAAACCCAAGAAAGCAAAGACACTTTCCATCAACACAATCACCATTTGAATTGCATGAGTTGGGGCACGGCCTCGACATGAGAAGAGGGTTCACACTACAAAGTTCATGATATGCTGGGCAGATGAGCTCACCTGCATTTGCAAATAGTATAGAACAAAAGCAAAAGCTTGAGAATGTATAAATTAAAAGATGGGGTGGATAGTAAGCATTATATTCCCATGGAGGGATGTGATTTACATGTTTGGAATTAAGTAGCGTTTCAATAAGCTTCAAGGGCTTTTTCCCGCTTTTTTCCAATGATGCCCCTTATACTTTTCCAGTTACTATTTCAACATGTCCTTTTAGGCTCATTTTACAGTGTCATCTAGCCTATCAGCTAGTTTGGCAAACACAGCTCATCTTTTTGTTCAGGTCACTAAACACAAAAAAAAATGTAAAAGTTCAACGACGTGTTTATCTGTTCTGCATTTTGCCACAAAATTACCATTAAATCCAGGAAACTGAACTGGTCCACCAGCTTCCGGGCATGGTTTCCAAATGCCATCCACAGCAACCTGTAACGACATTGATAATTCTTATATGATTCAAGTTCTCCAATGTGCACTAATTACTATAAAAAAAATGTTACTTGAACTTTAACATACCTCCAAAGTCATGTTGATGCACCTATGTTGGTAACACCCATTTCCTTGGGTCATAGAACCCCTGACGAACCCATTACGTACTAATGAAGAGGCCATACACCTATATAAATGAAATAAAAGTAATTAAATTTATAATATTTTAAAAACCAAACAAGCCTAGTATATCCCACCAGAGAGCGGTAAGACCCTCGGCTTGTGAAAAGTGTGCAAAAGAGAATATGGTATCCTTGAAACAGTTTTGTATAATTAAATCTCGGTTTTCACCTTGAACTACTTCCACGGACTTCTCCCAACATTCTGTCAGGTACCCGTGCACTGTTAGTGTCTATACATGAACCATCAGAATAAGCTACAAAATAGGTGCAGTAATCGGCCAACGATGATTGACCACCTGCATTGACCAAGAATCAGCAAGTGAACTTTTTAGGATCAAGTTGTAACATTCATTTAGTTAGATCCAAAGATCTGACCTTTGTTAGCCTGAGGAAAATAACGGGCCCACTGAGGAAGGTCCCCACTATAATTTACAATTGGACAATAACCCTCGGCCTCCCTGTTATATGTACACCCAGAAAATTGTGTCGTGTTACAACGATATGCCCCTTTCCAGAGGTTGCAAGGGGCTGTAACAAACTCGGTCCCTTGGTTGCGGCCCCAATCAAGACGGTCTGACATGCTATAATTAGCCTGATACCAACCACTATCTTCAAGCAAAGCCAATGTCATTTTTGAAACTACTGATCTTGTATCAACCGAACCGGTCATTATTTCATTCATCAAAAGTCTCTTCTCCCAGTGAGATCCTGATGCATATTTACACGTTTCAATTATAAAAGTGACTGCCAATTACTGAATTATCTCAAGAACCTACCTTTTGTTTTTTATTTTTATAAAATGGGAGTGGCTTAAAGTTAATAAAATTGAAATCTTTAAATGAATTGTTCAAGAACCTGATGTTCCACGCCCTCCACCATCTTCCAACTCCACACCAGTGAAATTCTCAGAGAATGCCTGATGACAATGAACTTATAAATGTCATGATGCTTTTTACTTATTTTCTGTTATATCTTCAGAAATGCATAAAGAATCTTGCCAAAAGAAAACAAAGATATGAAGTACCCCATAATGATAGCGTGAATGCATGACAACACGTGGAAGAACCACACGAGTTACCATCCTCCCAAGCTTTTCATCCATGGTTTGTTGTGTGACCTGAATAAACAAGAAAATTATAGCATGTTAGAGTTTTTATTTATTTATAGCATTGGTGCATGATGTTCATTTAATTGGCAGTTTGATCCAAAAATGCACACAGCCTCAAAATCAAGAAAGCTAGTAATGTCTCTTATCAGTTCTATGTAAGCAAAAGTACAATAAAGAGAATGTCGTAGAGTTCACGCCACTTAAGTCTGTCTCTACACTTAAAACTCACATTAATGTTTTTAAAGAATGAAAATTTTGACTTCTATATAACTCATTTTGCTACAAGGGGAACAGTCTAGGTAGCTCCTTTAGATTCTTCAACTGATAATGTTGAAAATCACCTATGAAATAATGGCCAAGAAACAAGAGGCTTTTGAAGTTCAATCAGATAAATATATGCAATTGTTAAAAAGTACCACATTCCCATCAAGCAAAAAACACTTACAACAGCTAATTTGGGCAAGGCCTATCTCACTTTTAATCATATATCTAAGAAATTCATGGCTTCTCCCTCGTGTTTTTGGTACACATGATATTTAACCAGTTTACCTGACTACGACGTCTTTTTCTCTCATCTCTAAAATGTGTGAAGGCATGAGGATCAAACCCAAGAACATGAATCACCTGCGAACTCCAAACTTGTCAGAAACCATTTTCAAAGCCTCAAACATTTTCAACTGTTAACACTCACTTCATGTATGAGTGTAGCTGAAAGTAATGTTTCTGCTTCTGCTGTCAAGTGGCGAGGAGCAACATTCACATGTCCTGCAAACAGACAAATGGATCAAGGCAACTGGAATCCATCTTTCAAATACCCGGTAAACAAGCATCATGGGCAAGAAACTAGAAGGATTACCGGCAATTGCACGACCCCATTGATCACGTTCACATGCTACTGCCCATGCCAGGGTGTTGCCTGTCGTGGGTCTTGTAGTCACCAAAAGAACCAAGTCGGCATCAGCAACACCCTCTAGGAAAATACAAAGAAGTAAAGAATCTTATAGACGGTAGAAAGTGAATATCAAACTAAACGAACCCAGTATATTCCACTTGAAGGTGGGGTCTGGGGAGGTAAGATGTATGCAGACCTGACCTCTACCCAAATACTAGAGTAATAGAATGGTGTATTGACTTACCTTCTACGTACTCATGTGGAAGCTGTACACCACCATCTTGTCCGCAAGCAGAGTAACCACTTAACCTCAGATTTCCTCTTACACGCTCGACAGCCAAAGCTCTTCTAAACCATTCTGCCGTCTGCCCTAGAGCCTGTTCTCTCAAACATACAAAAAAGATAGATTTAACATGCAAATAATACACCAGTCTAACAAGTAACAATATCAGGATCTTTACTATAAAGCACACGATGATGTTAAAACATAATTTGCATTTTAACATATACAACCGCTGAAAACGCAAGAAGGAAAATGAAAAATCAGGAGAACCTTTCTAAGGCGATGCGTTTTGTCCTCCCCAGTTATATCATCCAAAGTGCAGTTATACCAGCAGTCACCGAAAATTGGAGGATCGTTATGAGGATTACACAAGGGCCTACCCAAGTCAGAAGCTGCAGAAGGCTCACCAAGCTGAAGAAAACATAATCATGATGAATTTTGCATTAACGTATAAATGTAAGTAAGCATAAAAGAAGCAGATTATTAGTGTAGACTTGCCTTAACTATATCGCCAACATTCCTACAGTCTCTATCAGGTGAGTGACCCACAGCATCGTAGTTCAAATAAATTCTTATGGGTAGCTTTGCATCCTTCAGAAAACTCAAAGATTTGGAAGTTTCCAACAATTCTCTTCCCTTGTGGTGAAGATGGCCTGAGGCACCAGACCAATGATAAACCTGTGGTGTAACAGAAAACACCTTGTGTCCAGGTCTCTTCCTCCTCTGTTCAATTATCTGATCATGAATGCATGAATGTGATTGAATACTTTCACCTCCCTTTTCCAATCTTCGTGGCCGTAACTGTCTGTCACCGTATTTTGCTTGACTGATGTCTAAAAATACTAGTACTAAAAGAATCTGCAAGGAATGAGCAAACCCACAATGATTACTATGTAATTGAGTGATTTATCACCACTTTCAATGAACATTAATGATGTTTTCGGCACGAAATTGACTCCCCTAAAATGGTTTTATTCCTTTTCTGATTATATGCACAACCAAATGCCTGAAATGATACACCCATAATATCCCAATGTCACATTTATTTAGAAAACTCTGAAACCTTTACCAAGTCCTTATTCAGAATATACCTGTATGTAAATTTCAAGATTTCTAACCCCAAGTTCCCAAAAAGGGAGATGAACTTAGCATTGTCACTGACATCCAAACCCTAATCTCCTTCTACACAGCCTCCTGATGTGATGTTATGTCAAATTGAATGAAACATTAGAACCCCATTTCAACACACACTAATGTTATTAAGAAGACTTTGAAAGCTTCCATTTTTCCAACAAACAATTTTGAAGCAGAGAATCCTATGGGCAGTTCTATTAAAAGGTTTTCCATATAAAAGATGTTGGAGGAAATGTGAAAGTCAACTAAGAACCCTAGTATTTCACTAACAACAATCCTCACAATACAAATTGATAAAGAAAAAAAAAGACATGAATTGTAGAGTTCTATTTTCACCTGGAGAACTAACAGCTCAGTCCACCATTTCCTTCTGGGAAAAACAATGCATCTGGTAATACTAATATTGGTAGAACAAATCTTGAACTCCATGAAATGAATTCAATGGACCCGAGAAAAGTCATGGGTTCATCAAATCGCCGACGATGAGCAGTCCCAGATCGGCGAAACCGCCATCAAGAATCCCAAAATTTCTGGCATTATTCAGAAAAAGAAGCAATTCGATTTGTGGGAGTGAGCTGTTGTTATGAGCAGTAGAAATTGGAAACACAAAAAAAGTGAATGACGTTGGATTCTGGAAGTTGCAAAGAGTAGACTGCTTGCAAGGGAAAACTATTGATCTCCCGACAAAATTAAAATGGATATTTCGTTGGGTTCTTCTCAGACGAATTAACAGACGAATTAATGTTCGTCTGAGAGTGACTGTGATTTCTAGAGAGAGAGAGAGAGGAAATGGAGAGAGAGGAAATGGAGAGAGACACCAAACATAACACCAACATCATATTCAACATTTACTCGTGGAGCACATATTCTTTTCATTCTTTATTTAGCTTTTTTTTGTTTTAATTAAAAATGTGTTTTAAGTTAAATATCATATTATTTATATTATATTATAAAGTATTTAATAAACAGTTTAAAAAATTATTTTTTATACATAAAATAATGTTTATTGATRTATATTACTTAAAATTTAAGATTATAAGCAACTTTTACGTAAATATAATTTATTAAAACTTTATTTTTGAATTTGGATAATTAAYTGTAGATAAACGTAATAAAATACATGATAAACATCTAAGTTTAAATATAAAAGATAAAAAATATTATGAGGATAATAATTGAGCTTTAATATAATCCTTAATTATTATCTTTATAAAAAATTATATTATTAAATCATGTTTACTTCGTTATTAAATCTAAATTAAATTATAACAAAAATTGAGTTAAATAAATTTTATTTCTTTTTAAATAGTCATTTGATACTAATATCGAAATATTTTTTTATAAATTTTTATGATATCATCAAATTTATATTTTATTCAAAAAAAAAAATATTATTTTTTCTTAAAACCACATAAAACTGAATTATATCGACAAAGACAAAAATTAAAACAAAACATAACCATCGAGATGTATCTTATTGTATTATACGAGTACCCTTCTAATATTACAAAAAAGTGTTAAGAGTTTGTTTTATTAAAGTTTCTTCATTAAGAATAAACTAATAAGGTATACAATTCTTTTAATTTTGTTAATATTAATATTTTTTTTCTTTTCTATAAACAATAAAAATGGAAGTTAACCACATGGGTGGTGCCTGATTGGTTTGAGCTTGGCTCCAAAGGTCAAAAGTACCAAGAGGTCCCAAGTTCAAATCCAATAAGGAATAAAAATCCTCTTGTGGTCACGAAGGTTCAAATGCCCTGACTCCAGGCTATCTGTAAAGCAGGTGGTCGCCTTGAGATTAGTCGACTCGCATAGCGGGTTGGATATTCAGATTAATAAAAAAAAAATGGAAGTTTGATAGGTGTTAGTAAATTTATATTACTATTTCTAAATGAACATATCAACTCCATATGTTTATCTTATTTTTCTAAAAACTAAATTATTTTAAATATAATTAATCTTTTAAATAAATAAGTTGTATAAAAGATAAACGATTTATTTAATTTTTATAACTTATTACTGATTATGTACAGCTTCTAAAAGCTCTACATTTAGACTTCAGAAAATTAAGTGATAAACTTGTTAACATACAAGATAAGCATTGAAGCCAACAAATACAGTACTAGAATACTACATAAAACTGATAACTATCCAAAGACTCTTTCTTTTTTCTCAAAACCAAAGAAAACCTTAAAATAAAATTGGGAGGGACCAATAATAAAACAAATCAAGAATAAGGATCGAGGGTTCAAGCCTTTGACTACAGGATCAAGATGTATCGTGCTGTATCTCGTTAGTATACTTTTACTATGTATTCAATCCTTATTCACATTCAACGCTCCAAAACAGTTGGTGATCCTGTTTTTCAACCTCATACATATCTGTTTTATCTGTATTAAGGACACACCTCTAAGTATTTGATAGAATTCAAACTTGTTTTTAATATTTTGTCTTAATTTCATAGATTGATTAATATATATTTAATTATATATTCCATAATAAAAATATATTGTTAAAGAAATGTTAATACATTTTAA